TGGGGTTATATTAAGCCAACCGATAACAAAATTCGGCCGAAATCGACGTTTCTGTGTGGAAAAATCCCTTGCATACGAACACTTAATTACACGAAGAACCTAGAACACTGAGCCGGGGTATTTGAAACCGAAATTGTCATCTAAGTGTAACGCTGTCGCTGATAGGCTGCTGAGCTGGAATGCCAATTTTTAGTTTCAAATACCCCAGGAAAGTAGAATATGTCCTGGCCGTACCACGAAACACATCGGCTAACTCAGTAGAGTGTTTACGGGCCATACCGCCAAACTGTGTGATGTATTTGTCTGTACCCTTTTGGGCATAGTTTCGTGGGCTATGCATTTGTGCATCTATCGAACACATTAGGCGGTGTTTAGGATTCGCTGGTCCGCTTTTGTTTAAAAATCCCCATCCCAGTTTTGTCCGTGTTTGTTCAAGTTGATAAACAGGGTATGATATTCGTACGAGTTGTTATTAATTCTTTGCAAAGATTTTACCATGTTGTTATGTAGAATTGCGTGATAACGTCAAAATAGAATAATATCTTTGAAGATGAAACTAAACTCGTGATCCGAGATTGTAATCAATCTAATATTCGTTTCCTGTGTAATTACAAAGTCACCACTCGTCGTGTCTCAGTAACTGTATACCCTCACATGACTAACAGTAATGCTAAGTTGTTAAATAGCATTATTATACACCTGTCACCGTAACGCCATAATTTACAGCGTGCCGTAATTTTGCGGTATTTTACGGGATATTTTCATCCTACCATATTAGGAAATGCGCGTAAGCATCCTCTAATAATAAAAGCAAACATGGTAGCCCCAGGGGTTGACCCGACCCCATACAAAGAAGTATGCTCGACCTGTTCTAAAATTTTTGTATTTTGGCATTCCCATGATGTATCCTTAGGAGGAAAAGATGTATAATAATAAGGTTATTACGAGGATACAGAAAAGTATGCACTCAGACAGTACGAAGTCGGTCGGTACTCTCTTCGTGCACAACCTCGTAATAATCTCATATTATAAAAGGACACGCATGCCTAGCAGCTAATCGTGGCGTATTTAATACTGAAAACATATTGTTAAAGCTCAAATCTATAAAAGACTACCCTTAGCATTATACGAATAGCACAAATAAGCACGTTTGTTATTATTTGCAGTACTTATGAACTTATATCAGTTCCATGATACTCAATAGAATACTGTAAAATAATTTATCTTCGCTTGGAGTTTTTTTTTCCTATTTTCGGTGTAGGGATGATTCAGTGAAAATAAAATCCAGCAAATATACAATGTTTTCTATATTTTACATTCAACTTGTGAAATCTCAGTGAAAATAAATCCCATACAAGTGTCGCAGAGTTGTAAGATTTTTTCCTTGTTTGCTACTTGGGAATCATTCAGGACACTGTATAGTTGTAGTTATAACACACGCCATTTATTGTGAAGGATTCTATCAGGTGGATACAACACAATATGTTGACATAAGTTGGTTGCTACGTGACGGCCTCACGGCTACACCTGGAGATACATGTTGTTGGACAACTACGACTGGCCACGATGACCGACCGACGACGACCACCCCGACGACGACGACGACCAAGAATGAAATCACTCCTGTCTTTTTATGGGAAAGGGATCATGGGTCACGTGGTATTCGTAATGTACTTGTATTGGCCAAGCAGACCCGCCGATATGTAAATATAACTAATTGGCGTACTGTGGGTATAGTAGTTGTATTGAGCGTCCATTAATGGAGAGTTCAATCAATACCAAAGTAATAAAACATCAAGACAATTGAATGTTAGGTAACGCTTGGTAGCCTTTCCAAAATAAACGAGAATGACTGGGACTCCACGGTGGCCTAATATATGGTTTGGGATCATTTGAGTGTATTCAAGGCTGGTAACATGCTAATTTTACCAATGTGGAGTGACCTCACTCAAAAGTCGCCAAGACTGGTAACACAAGCACCCAAAAAGTCTTTTCAGCGAAAATTTATTCCAACTAAAATAAAGCATTTTACAGTAGTTTGAAAGATAAATCAATGTGTTCAAATGACCTTGAAAGCACGTGTAATGCGATATACCGAAGAAAACTAAGCTACATGTGGTCATACTTGATCATAAGTGTAGTTGTTTTGGAGATTGCGCAACGTCAACTTCTATTTTGCAATACATGAAAAACGAATTACATTTAGATACAGCTATGAATAACCTGTTGACCCCAGTGTTCAGAAGTCATACATCTCTCTCAGACAGCTTTACCGACCCATACATATAATCACGAACAGCGCAGCGAGAGCCAAGCACGAACTCGTTTAGTAATCCTTTGTTGAAACCGAAGTAGTAGTAGTGATAATGGGGAAAGTGTTGACGACTGATAGATGAACGTACTCGGTGCATGTCAGCAGCATCGTCATGACATACATACGGCAGTGGAACCAATGTAGCGTCGTATTGTCCACGTTTACTTTAATATGTATTCATCAACACAGAGCTAACAAATCCCTATTGTTGATGAAAAATAAAATTGGCTTCCATTCGTGCGTTGGAATTGCAAAGCGTGTGCGTACTTTTTTAAAAATATTTTTTGTTGTTGGAAGGGGGTTGGAAAGGGGGAAGCGGGTCGTCGATGTGTCGGCGTGTTTATTCAAAAATGGTTTATGGGTCTGATTAAGGTCGTTTCAACGTTCATAGCATACGTCCTCGACACTCGCATTACAATTTCAATAGCACACACACACCGCTAGGTGTTGCACAGTGTCCTAAATACAAGTTTTAATACAACATTAATGCAACTAGTGTATGAAGGGGAAATGCATTGAGGATAAGCGCAAGTTTAAATTGTGTTAAATGTGGTGTGTGTTACAGGTGATTACGTCCGCTATATTTAGCTTCAAAGAGAGGGTCTTTTAAAGGAACCGTCAACCACACTGTGCAGTAGACATGGCGTAAATAATTCTGCAGACTGAAATGACGACGCGTATACGTTTCCGTTCAGACGAAGTCAGAAAACGGGGCTTATTAATTTCAAACTGTCTACTCGTGGAATCAAGCAATTCAGGTTTCCCATCGGATACTTTGGTTCGACCCACTTATGTACTTTTTTTTATCAGATAACCATTTGCATTTGGAGTCTCGTTCCCACATAATACGTTCGCGAGATTCTGCGATTTTGGAGAAGATACAAACACATTACATATAGAAAATAACTTTGTATTTTGAACTAGTTCATTTTTCTTTTATTCTAATACAATACAAAAAAAATAAATAAAATACAAAGAGACATGGATAAAAACATTGAGGATAAACTTGTGGTTTTCAGGAGACTGTAATTAGAAGCACTCAACCACGCGACCTTGCCTCTATGTGCAGCAACGCCAGAAATGTTGTTGATATAAGGGCTCGCAATCTATTCCAGTTCCTCGTGGTTACCATGGCTACATCTAAAAGCAATCACGTCCGAATTTCTCAATATATTTGAACACCTTAATGTTATGTCGATGATGTACCCCCTCTTTGTTGGGTACGCTGACCTCATTAGAGTAGTCAGCTTTCGTAATCTCTAACCAAATGAAACATGTGGTGTTTTGTTGACTCATTCCAATGTGAAACCAAGCAAAAATGAGGCCAGCAATTTAGGAGGCTTATATTACCACACTTTGATTGATTCTATTATTGACTTCACAAATTCCAACCATCGTTGCCCAAGTAGTTCTCCGCGACTCACTAATGTATGTGAATAAAAGAACATCGAATGGAAATACATGTTATAATTTTACATCTTTCACCGTAACGCCATAAGTTACAGCATGCCGTAATTTTGCGGTATTTTACGGGGTATTTTTATCCTACCATATAAGGAAATGCGAGTTCCAAATATGGAATAATTACGCGCGTAAGCGTTATCTAATAATAAAAGCAAACATTGCTGCCATCAGGGTTTGACCGGACTACACACAAAGTAGTTCGCTGATTCTGTTCTAAAAGTTTTGGATTTCGGCATTCACATGATGTATCCTTTGACGGAAAAGATGTATAATAATAAGGTTATTACGAGAATACCTCGAAGTATGCATGCGCATCAGTCGATACCCCAGCTGTACTGTCTTCGTGCATACTTTGAGGTATCCTCGTAATAACCTCATAGTATTAAACGGTGTATTTGGATAACTGGACAAATTGCCACATAACCGCGCTATATATAAGAGTGGAAGTTAGTTTATTGTCATTTTATCCAGGGAATTATTAAATGATGTATATAAATTGCTGTTTATAACGAATATATAACATTCCGTGGTGAAATTACTTTGCATTTTAGTTCACAAACGCATTGAGAACGGGACGGATGTGATTTTAATAAGGTAGCTGTGCTGGGGTAGGAACAATACGACTGCGACCAACGGATCGAGAAGCCAATGCATGATAATTGTGTCCTGTCATGGATGACGTAACATTGATGTAACCTGACTTTTAATAAATGTAACAGTAAAACAAACATCAATACTCCGAATGTAACTCGACATTTTTGATAATTTCGATAATTTCATGAATTTTATGAATGCAATTAAGGTTCCAATTTTTGTTAGGTACAGTAAATGCACTTGCGTGCTTTTTGAATTGTTTGTTATGTCGACCAGACAGACGGAGAGACGGACAAATAGACGGGCAGACAGGGTAAAAAAGGGCGGAGTGGCCAGACGTGGAGGAGGGATCGAAAGGAGCGGACGGGAAAAAGGAAGAACAAAAGATGGATGGACTGAAAATGGGGGGGGGGGATTGACGGAAGATCTAGGATTTGGACTTAAACAGTACACAATATTTGTCAGATGTTTAAAAAACATTAAATGTCGCAGTTTTACTAAAAAATAGACCCGCGGTTTTCAACAATATATATAATTTAACAATACACTCCAAATCAAAGCAAAGCTGGCAACCATAATTAGTACAATGTAATTTGAGTCGATTTATTTTCATCATAGGTGACAGGTGATGGAGTCTTTTACGAGTGCTAATTATGACACGGAATCCATCGATTCTTCGGGAAGTAGTCGTGGTTCCTTGGACCCTATATACCAATACGCCACACTTGATGGTAGAGTGCAAACACGAAGTTTTCAATCGTCAAAGAAAGGACTTGAAGAGGAAGAACTGACCGAAAATCGACATGGCTCGCAGTCTCATAAATTAGCAATTGTCATTGCTGCATCAAGCATCTTTCTGGTGTTCCTTATCACCGGCGTCAGTTTTTATTTTGTCGGTAATGTTTATTTTTAATTGTTATTTTAGTTTCAAGAAATCCTGCCCATGTGCTTCGTGGAGAGTCGTGACCAATAAGAAAGTTTGCTTACCAACGAATTGCAGAGAATTGATACGCATTTGTAATGTTGAGTTGAATACAACAATTGGGCGAATTGTTTGCTTACATCATAATCACAATTTATTCTCAATAAAACAAATAACGCTTAATTCAAACTTTTCTCTTAGTCTACACAGACCCAAGGCAGTCGGACAGAGACCAAGTATCAGGTGAGGTATTCAATCAGCTGAAACCGTACGCTAATTTCTATCGAGGCTAAATTGCAAGACCTTAATTTCAAACTGACGTAGGATGTTTATTGTAATATCACTCAACTCTTATGTGTTGAACACGCATATTTTCTATAGATCACAAAGTCTCATCGGATTTGAAGACTTACGATATCATGTAACACAGACGTCAATTGTGAAATCGGACCTTATGTCACATACCTTCTTAAATTGATCATAGCCGGTTTGAAAAAACAGCAACAACATTGATGCCATTATTGTATAGTGTTAACAAGTGTAAGCCCATCTCTCGTTCACAAGAAGCTATTATATCAAGCTTAAATCGATCGAGGATTTAGTATTAAATACAATTTATCCTCAAAAACAACGGGTTCTGTAAGGGAAGAAATCTGATATGCCCCATTTGAATGTCTATTTACAAATGTACTTACAGGAAAACACATTAACGCACTAAACGTGGGATTTGAACTCGTGATCACCTTTGTCACTCAAATTTAGAGTAGTTGCGATCCACCAAAGTGCGAATAATGTGTATAAAATAACACACACCGTCTTTTGTCAATAAGTGCCGACGGCACTTGTACAATGAACAGTTGAGTTCACAATCCCAACCTAATCGTCCGTGTATTCTCTTCACTAGACCAATGTTATTTTAACAAAATAAAGCGACTGTTGTAGAATTGTGGGTCTTCCTTTTATCAACAGCGAATGGACGTTTGAATCAAACTTTTAAAACTAATAAAAAAATGTATTCTTCTGATCAGCTCACCGCACTACCGAGGAACCGAATTCACTAACGAACAACCTCGGCGCCGTACTGGTGTTAGATGCAACTGTAACGCTCACTGGTATCCATGGCAATCAAGTGACATATTCGAATAAATACAATGACACAACATCTCAAGAATATAAAATAGTTGAGGACATCTTTATATCTATGGTAAATGTATTCGAATAATACTAATATATTTCCAGTGGTATTGTTTATTTCATATGTGGTCAGCACATTGACGGCTAGCCGAAAGGACGCTGTTGTAATTGTTTAGTGGGAGCTGTTGAACAACTTAAAGGGACATACGCTACATTCTGAATATATGTTTGAATTTGTTTGTTTCAAATGTCTAATTAATTAAACTAATTACCCACTAAAACAAATATAATCAGTGAGTGTGTAATCTGCGTATACTAATAGTTGCAGGTACGTACCTAAAATGTGTTAATATGTGGTCTATTAAGCTGATACATGTCAAATATTTGTACATACATGCCCGAAAGTGCGTGTGTGTGGCCTATGGACCAGCAGTTGTATTTTACAGCATTATTTCAGGTACGTACTTAAAAAGTGTGTTAATCTGTGTTTGTGGCCCATATGATTTCTACGGATGCAACATTATTTCAGGTACGTACTTAAACAGTGTGTAAATCTGTGTGTGTGTGGCCTATGATATTTTACAGCATGTAAATTATTTTTGAAGCTATGTTACCGTTTTGATAAGATAATATCACCACAAATGAAATCCTACACGATCATGGCATACTGTATTGATATTAGGATTCGGTATACAAAATGTATGAAAACAAATCAACAGTTGCAGTGTTCATCTGGAGTTTTGACATTGACAAGACATTGAATGACAAATTATCATTACTTCGTAAAATAAAAATCTAGAGATACTGTGTCCGTTAGAATTTATTCACAAGCACACTTCGATTACGAGCACGCGAACATAACACGCACCAATACGATATTTGATGAAAAGTTGATAGCTCAATCCCTGGTTATTACAATACATGTGTGGATTTGTTGCAGATGGATGAAATATACACCCAGAGCACATATAGTGAAATCTACAACAGAACAGAAGTAGTTGGATTTAGGTGAGAATGTTTAGTATTCTCTCTTTACAATAATTAAATAAGGATTTGAAGAACGTCAGATTAAAGGAATTATCTTGGTACCAGTATTTAACTGTTTTAAAATAAAATCCCATACAGCGTCAATGCCACTTGCAGACCTTATGTTTATAGCATGATCTACTTGAATAATTGGTTGGTGCCTCATTGGCTGTATGCATTGAAATCGATACATCTTTCTCTCAAAGACTTAACCATGTATTGTGGTACTGCTATCACTGTACTACTTGGTTTTGTGCTTTGACATCCACACATCTTTCTCTCAAAGACTTAACTATGTATTGTAATACCGATATCACTGTACTACTTGGTTTTGTGCTTTGACATCCACACATCTTTCTCTCAAAGACTTAACCATGTATTGTGGTACTGCTATCACTGTACTACTTGGTTTTGTGCTTTGACATCCACACATCTTTCTCTCAAAGACTTAACTATGTATTGTAATACCGATATCACTGTACTACTTGGTTTTGTGCTTTGACATCCACACATCTTTCTCTCAAAGACTTAACTATGTATTGTAATACCGATATCACTGTACTACTTGGTTTTGTGCTTTGGCATCCATACATCTTTCTATCAAAGACTTACTATGTATTGTAATACCGCTAACACTGCACTACTTGGTTTTGTGCTTTGGCATTCATACATCTTTCTCTCAAAGACTTACTCTGTATTGTAATACCAATATCACTGTACTACTTGGTTTTGTGCTTTGGCATCCATACATCTTTCTCTCAAAGACTTAACTAAGTATATTGCAATACTGCTATCACTGTACTACTTGGTTGTGTGTCTTGACATCCATACTTTTCCTCTCACTGATTTAAACATATATTGTAATACTTATATGCGCATGATATTAATTCTAGTATGCCCTCCTAGTGGTAATCTGGGCATGGTATTATTTCTATTATTGTGTCCTAGTGGTGTTGTCAAAAGTGGATAAATTGCAGCTTCCTGTGACACGTTTTCTAGTTTGACTGTCTTAATCCTAAACTACGTTTTTGTATAAATTTATCATGATAAGTAAATTCCCAATTTCGTATAATTCATGAATGTATTTATTGTTTCAGTGCCGGGAGTGTCATAGTACACTTTTACATTTACTTCAACTTGCATTCAGTGTATAATGTAGATGACGTGTTAGAATCACAATCAACAAAACGACCACCTTTAGTACCTAGCGCAATGAATTTAATGGACGTCTTCACCGCATCAGTTGTCGACAACTCTGAGGTAGTAACAATCAAGGATGGAAGCATTTCATTAAACAGAGGTATCTATAACAGTGATATATATAGTAGATAACATTTGGTAATCGTTGTCCCAAGTAACTATTGAAAATAGCTAAACGTTTCGAGCAATGGCTCATTATCGATAGCATAGAAGTAAATGTTTAAATGTATAGGTAGAACATACGAACGTAACAACACGTACAACAACTTTGAAATGAAATCATTGAAATATTCCACTATAGAACATGCATACGCGCATACTACCTATGTTTTACCTATCCTCGGGGGCGGAGCTACGTCACAAGACGTTCCACGTTGCTAAGACGCGCACCACTGTACATGTATTTCTATGGGCTCTGTGCGCGCTGCTGTGGAACGCCGGTCGAGCCGGGGAAAATTCGAGAAAACAACACAAACTCAACTTTGAAGTAATCCTGAGCAACCAAATTTATATATGTTACACACGTAGGGCTAATGTTGTTATACTGTTCAGGGGAGTCTCAACAACCATCCCAAAATACCGTTTTCTGAGAGTTTTCGGCCTTTGTTTTCACCGCTGTGAAAATACCCGGATGTCCACCCCCGAGGATACATTTAAACGTGTTTTTTGCGTCTCACATATATAGTAAACAAACACAATTTAAGTATGCAATGATGTATTGAATTACGTTATAACAATTAAATATTCATCAATCTTGTTTCAAGCTGTTCAATATTCTAATGGAGAAGAGGGTAGGGAAATCTTGGATACACTGCGCTCAACTGAACAAGCCTCTGTGTCCAAGTCTGCAACTGAACAACCCACTGAGATCAAGTCTACAAATGATCAAACAACTGCAAAAGAACAAGCCACCGAAACCATGTCTTCTACCACGGAAAATAAAAATGCCGACAAAACAAATAGTGTCACGACAACCACAAGCCAGCCATCGATTTTAATTCCTGGTATGTGGAATGATGATGATCAAAACTTGACATAGTATTGCTCACTAGTGTTATGTCACGTTCTATTGTTTGTTAAATAACAACCTAGACGTATTGAACATTATTATACATATGTCACCGTAACGCCATAAGTTACAGCGTGCCGTAATTTTGCGGTATTTTACGGGTATTTTCATCCAATGCGAATTCCAAATATGGAATGATGACGCGCGTAAGCGTCCTCTAATAAGAAAAAAAACAAACATGGCTGCCACCAGAGTTTGACCGGATTCCACACAAAGAAGTTCGGTGATTATGTTTATAACACTTTGGATTTCGGCATACCCATGGTGTCTCCTCAGAAGGAAAAGATGTATAATAATAAGGTACTCAGAAAGTACGCCGCCCATCGACCTCTGAGGTGTGAGTCGGTCGATACTCCAGCTGTAGCATACTTTGAACTTTGAGGTATCCTGGTAATAACCTTATAATAGTCATAGATTTTCTATGCTAAAATATCACACATATTTTCTCAAATAGGATGTGGCTCAGATACTTGTAAAAATGGAGGAACGTGTTTCCGTTTCGTTGACAGAATAACCTGTAGATGTCCACATTCATTTAGTGGCGATCGATGTGAGTTAAGTAGACGTAAGTTATCACAGTATAATTATGTGTTTTTAGAAACAGAATTGGTGTTAGATCTGTTTGTTGCAATTTTAGTGCCAAATCAATGAACATTTAATATAATTATTGTTGAAATAAACCAATATAAAAAAACACATCATGCAATTGCGTTCGTCATGTATTAGACAGAGTAGAGCCTATACATATTTCTTATATACTGCTAATCCACAGTGTCATTCGTATCGACAATTTAGATCGTTCAGCTGACACTTGTAAAAACATGTGATTAAATGTGTGTTTAAATGCATTTAATCTTAAACAGTTTGTAATTCATCATACTTTGGTATTATGTAAATGAGGCATAAATTTAGATTCTGGTGAATTCAAATAAATGTTTATTTATATTCCTGAAACTATAACTCGTACATTCATTAAAGTACAGAAAGTCTTTATTTATTTATTTATTTATTTATTTATTTATTTATTTATTTATTTATTTATTTATTTATTTATTTATTTATTTATTTATTTATTTATTTATTTATTTATTTATTTATTTATTTATTTATTTATTTATTTATTTATTTATTTATTTATTTATTTATTTATTTATTTATTTATTTATTTATTTATTTAAAATACACGTTATATTTATCAGAGAATGACCCAGTGCTGTCCTGTGAGGGCTTAAATCCCTGCAAAAATGGTGGTACATGTAGTGACATGCCAGATGGGGTACATTGCTCGTGTGCGGAAGGGTACACTGGACGTGACTGTAGCTTAGGTAAGTTGTCACAATCTGTCTTTTAGTGTGAAGATCTTAATATATATATTAATTGCCACCAATCTGATAAAAGTTGTTTTATTTTCATAAACTCACGTTAATTGTTACAATTAAAGGTTACATAACCAATAATATGAAAAAAAATTAGAAATAGAGGCTGGTACGTTGTTTGGAAGTGGATACAAAATATCTGATAAAAATAAAATGTTTATATGGGAATAATTATATATTTTTAAATATTATTTGTTTTATTTATTGTTCATTATTGTATTTAATGATTTTTATTTGGTATTATTTATTTATTTATTTATTTATTTATTTATTTATTTATTTATTTATTTATTTATTTATTTATTTATTTATTTATTGGTCACACCATTGGTTATTTCACAGTCAGATAAGAAAACTTAAGTGAAAAGAGGAAAGCAATGAAAAAAATAATATTTTGACAGATTGACGAAAACAGAAGCACTATAGATATTTGAATAATAAAACAAAGTAGCTGAATCCAACACTATTACATCGAACAGCTGACCCAGTTACTGCAGTTGTCCGCAATCTCAAATTCTCCTGGTTTCTATTGAAATTTCACTAAAAATACGCTCTGACTTCCTGCATGGCAATACTCATCGGTGATTTGAATTTGATTTTTAACACATTGTTGAATCCCTAATTGTCAATTCATTTTCGTTAATTATTACTCATTTTTTTCAGAACCTCTCACTTGCATTTCAATAAATCACGTTGACGACTGCATGACAGTTGTCAATTACACTGCAACCTCGTTTCCAAACTTCCTGGGGATGGATCTATACAACGCCATAGCAGCGTTAAGTTCGACGAAACTCTTCTATCAATGTCACCCGTCTTTGATGGCTTTTTCCTGCATGATTATGTCACCGAAATGCTCAAACGGCATGTTTTATCTGCCGTGCAAGACATTGTGCGAAGATGTCCGAGACGCATGCTTGGAAACATTTTTAAACATATACAAAACTAATTGGACTGTCAATTGTGACGCACTTCCTGTGTACGGCGACCCGGATGTAGGATGTGCTGTAGGTAAGGTGTTACAAATATTTGAATTCAGTTGACCACTAAGCTTAGATTAAACCTTTAAATTCAAAAGTCAACTTTCACAACTTGAATAAAAGAACTTGAAGAAGAACAAATCTTAAGTTTTTTATTTTTGTGTGTGAAAATGATCGACTATTCGGTGTAACTCGAATGAAATGTCATAATTTAAGTCACAATCGGCTGTTTAAATTCGTTTGCCCCATCGTTCAAGCGGAACGAGTTCGAAAACACTATGCTGCATACAGGTTCGGTGGAGCGGATAGACACCAATAATACGTTCTATGTCGCCCTTTATTGCAGATCCTGTGACATCAACGACGTATTCCCCAGGTAGTTAGTCTTTTCGTTATCTTAATTTAAACGTTATATGTCGGTTAAATAGTCCATGAAATTACTACAGCTATTAGACAAGTTCGCCTGCTAGAACGAACAAAGCATGACAAATAATTGTAGAATTGTGGAAATGTAATACTATACAGGGAACTTGCAACGATTGCAATGAACGGAAATCTGAAAAATATATTTTATACTTCAGTTGTAATTGTTGTGTGAACACTTCGTTTTTATGCAGAAAAATACAGTATTTTCACCAAGTAAAATCATATTTATTAAAGTTATTGTTCATACACGAGTTGTTGAACACACTACATAGTTTGTTATTTCATTCAGCTCCCTTCAGTCACAATTCAAGACATATAACAGGCAAAAATATAGAGAATATAGCAAACTATCTTTTTTCTATAATATTCTTATGTAATCAGTAATTTTGAAAATTATTTATGGGTTCATAGGGAATACATTTCGTTATGAATTATTTTTAATATAAATTTCTGAATTATCTAGTCAAAATAAGTTTTTTTCGGGTTTTTTCTCCCCCCAAAAAGGAAGGAATTTCACAATGTCGGAAACAGAAAGTCTTTATCGAAGTGTTTGTAAACTGTTATATTATTCTTAGATAAGTGCCAAGAACTAGGCTCTCCCGTGTGTGACCATCTTCACCCATACGGCGGAGTAGCACCATCGGGCAGGAGAGCAACAGATGCGGAAGACGCCCAAAGATTCGGTGACTTCACGACTTATGAAGGTTGTCACGAATACATCGATGTCTTCATGTGTAGCGTCTTAACACCAGAATGTCTAACGGACGGAAGCTACAGACTTCCCTGCAGAGCGTTCTGTGAGGAGGTGGAAGCCGTCTGCAGAGAGGCCATGCAAGGTTCCACCATTACGTGGCCCGTTGAATGCTACGATTTACCAGATGCCGTGGAAGATATTAGTTGCATAAGTAATGTATAATCCTTTTTTTCTTGATTTACAACGTAAGAACTGAATGTTTGTAAATGCATTTGTGACTGCGTCTTGTTCAATACGACGTATATAAGGCTATGAAATATATTGCGTACTCACACGAAATTTGAATACGCTCCACACCACCGCTCTTTAAGTGATATTTTATTTTCTACGAAAACACTCCATTAAAACAAGTGGTTGGTGTTTTTAGTCGTTCTTTAGTAATAGTTTAATTATGCATATTACTTTCAGCTATAACGGCATGTACGGCCCAACCCTGTCACAATGACGGTGTTTGCGAACCCTCTGAAAGCGGTTACAATTGCACCTGTACCCTGGGTTGGCGCGGAGAGAATTGTACAGAGAGTAAGTGTCAAACCAAATACTAGTATGTATGTTTTCACAACAAAATGGCGCCTATCAGATCACGTGGTAAATACCCATAGGACCTTATTATATAATGTCGCGGGCAGAAACTTTTAGTTTACAGGACTTTTTTTTAAAGGAACCCTGATCACAAAAAATGAATGAATGGCAAAATATTAAATAAGAAGTATAATTTTAAATATTGGTGATAGATTTTTCATATATATTGTTATGATTTACAGATATCGATGAATGTGATCCAGTACCATGTCAGAATGGTGGAGTTTGCATTGATGGCATAGGAGATTATTCGTGTAACTGTCCATCTAGATGGGCTGGCAAAAACTGTGGTGAGTACACCTTATCCGATGTTGTATTTGTATGCACAATTCTTCTTCGAGATTTTGACATGTTAAGTTGTTTGTATACTGTAAATGCAACAGCTTCAACATTCGCAGGATGTCCACCTAGGCAATAACCGAACAACACCGAATAATTCCATGAATTCGGTTGTGATCGGGTTTCGAGTACTACAGGGTGTCATCAAGTAACCACATCGTACGAGGGATTTTATGCTCGGCGATCAAAGATGGACTATATTGGAACGCACCAGACTTTTAAGTCGATTCTTGTATAACCATTAGATTCCTCCATTTTGAATTTATTAGGCGGCCATTTTACCCATGTTAACACTGCGTCTCAATGAATGAACTTGGAAAATTATTTATTTTCTAGGCCGAAACAGAATTCGATTAACAATGTGTGATGGGATCTATTTTAATGATGACAATAAACAAATTTAGATCACTAAAACCCGCGAACGCCGTAACTTTAAGATTTGATTTTGGCCAAGTCCTTCAAAATTTGAAAAAGCGTATAAATTTTGTCGACAACACAACTTTAACATGGACATGCTAGAAAATATAAAATGCGATAATTGCGGTGTTTTATTCTACATCTAAATAGGAAGGTAATGGTCAAGGGTCATTGGCTCACCAGTCGAGTATACACCCGTTTATATTGACAAAACACTTGGCTCTGTGACATTGTCCAATCACAAAATAAACATATATTTTTATATGAAATATTTATCAGAAGTAGAAGTGCAAGTATCAATGATAAAATTTGGTAAAATCATGCCTAACCTATCAATTTATTTTATTTCAGACTGTAGAGACGTGACAATCGAGGAGTGTCGAAACCTTCCATATAACTCGTATTCAGGTCCCAGTGATGGGTTGACGAATTTCGCTTCTGCGAACGCGTTCCAGCGATTCATGTCGACAATCAGACCGTATGACGGATGCTTTCAGTACATCGACACGTTCATGTGTTCCTTGTTTGCCCCAGAATGCACTAGTAACGGTCAGTACAGGCCACCATGTAGAGGCTTCTGCGTAACAGCTCAGCATTACTGTGAACCTATATTTCGTGCTGGAGGAATTGATTGGCCAGTCAACTGTACGGTCTTGCCGGACTCCATAGACCCTACAATATGTCTGGGAAGGGAGTATATTACTATTAATACTGAGGGTGAGCGATGCTAGTCATTATTTTTCTTGTTGTTCTTGACCATCCTGGACGTACAAGTGCAACTATAATAAATGCAACTAAATTGGCGATGGGAGATCCGACGATTACCGCCCCTTGTGAGTAAATGTCAGCAAATTAGTTAAATTTATTACATTAAAGCGGGGGAGTCGTCACCTACGCATGCGTCAGATGGCTATAGCGTGTCATTTGCGTATTTAGCGTGTGTTGTTATCTTCGTTTGGGACTCAATTCCCGCGCGTGCGCAGGTGACGTCCCCTCCGCTTTAACCACTTGTATGTCATCTGACTATGTTAGATGTCGGCGGCTTGTGGAGTAAGGACATAATGAATTGATCAGGAATAACAAACCGCTAATTTGTTAACCCACGTCACAAAAATTGCTCTTCTAATAGCCGACGGACGGCTTTGGGGTTTAAAAAAAAAAGAATTTTACATTTATACACGGCCAAAGTGGCCAACAACGCGAGCAGCCAGTCAGAGACAGCGTTGCAGCTGGTGATTGTATCAGGGGGAAATTCTTCTCCTCTAGGGTTCTCCACACGTGTCAGGGGGGAATCTCGTCTCGTCTCTCTATCGCGTCCATTTGAGGTGCGGAACCGGGAAAGTCACTTAAACCTTACAGTCAAATAAGACACACACAACGAAATACGTTTCAACTCTCGTCTTAGTCGGTCAGTCGAGCACTCTATAAGACACAGCGCCCTGGGGAAAAGTCCCCAAGACTATCGCAAGGCTGGCCCAAGACTGCCTCTAGACTGCGTCAAGACTCGCCCCAAGACTCTCCGGGACTGCGTCTGTTCTGGTGTACTCGCCAAGACCAACAAAAACAACTTTATTCATTTTCAAAACCTTAACCAATTACAAAGCAGTAAAAAGACTCTAGGGCGTAACTTTCAATCATAAAGCCAATCACACTAAGTACTGAACACGTCATATCTTTTGATTAATCGTTCACTACATTAATAACTGCAAATACTAACTGTCAGAAATAGTAGTCCGGATAGCGACGGTTATCTTGTAATTAGTTCCAAATCACTGAACCAAGTTCCGTCCAGAACTTCACATGGCCTAAACGATGCCAGACATAACACAGCCATTCACTCGTAATCAACTAATTAAGTCGATTAACAGATACGCAAAAACAATTTCATCATAATTGTTTGCAATAATGAGAGGCAAGTCATGGTGTTACTGGTCAAAATTTTCCACTGCAAAATTATAAGCCGTTGTCGAAAATTTCCAGTGTGTTGTTTTGGATTTATTTCAAGTAGTGAAGTCGTGTCAACAGATGATATACGTTGGAGAATAATTGGTTGAGGCAAATATGTTGACCCTGCTTTGAACTTTAAAGGGCGGCAGTCGTCGTGCCGCATCCTGTTCGATATGGGACTCATAGCGACGTATACAACGCATTTAAAATACATTGTTTATTTGCATGAAATTCGAACACGCGCTGCTCGACGACCACCGCGCTTTAAATTTAAACAGTCAGTGTAAAGTAGCTAACACCACCGGTCATCGGAAAGTTGTTCGGGCTGCTCCCTCACAACACCCCATTGTGTTTCCTAAATAGACGTAATTTAAATTATCAATATAACATTTTGTAATGGAATGTTGTGAGGTTAATTAATTCATATTTCTGCTTGTGCTATAGCCATATGTGGAACTCGCACTCTATATGAACCAGAAGACCGTGTAATTGGCGGAAGTGACGCCACCAAAGGAAGCTGGCCTTGGCAGGCCTTACTTTACCCAGGAGACGATTTATGCGGAGGAGTTATAATCAGTGAATTATGGATACTGACAGCAGCTCATTGCGTGTAAGTAAAAAGGTCCATACATACATTGTTTGATAGTAGTATGACGTAGAGATAGTTGAAATTGACTTTGCAATAAATCACAGTTTATTATTGTACAATTTCACCTCCAATTATGCATGTGCACACGATTGCATTGGCCGTTCTCGTCAGGAATGGTGTGTTGTATTTTCTGGTTTAGCAAAAAAATAATCCATATGGCAACTAGGCTTATCTATAAGACAAAAAGTATCGTTCGTGTGGCAAATGGTCTGGTTCATAAGGCAAACAAATGTGGCAGTCTACTCTATAGCGTAAACACGTTCATGAGGAAAATAGTCTAATGTATATGGAAAATATTATATGTGGAAAATATTCATATACATATATGTGAAAAAAATTATGATTCGAGTCACAAATAGTCTGATCCATATGACAAATAAACCATGTGGCAAATAATCTGAAATTACAAATAATACTAATTATACGTGTATCACTGAGGCAGTGATAATCTAACACTCTTCAAAGGCGAATGTTGTTTAAAACACCCTTACTCGCCGACACCTCAATATTTTTGTGCATAATTAGGGTAGAAGAAATACTGTTTTAATTATTATTTCTTTGTTTTTATTTCATCACTTTCAACCAAAATGTCGTCATTATTTAGCTCTGGTATTGGCAGTGGTCAAATCGCTGTTACCGTTGGAATCGTTGATGATCGCGACAAAGACGGTATTTCAAGGGGAATCTCTGAAGTACACACACACCCCCTGTATGACGACGTAAACCATCGTTACGACTTGGCTCTTTTAAAATTAGACGCACCACTAGAATATAACGACTATGTCAGACCAGCTTGCCTACCATCATCTGACGACCTGTTCGAAGAAAACCACTTCTGTTTCACGACGGGCTGGGGACTCACCCAAAGTGATGGTAAGTAAAGCAGTTGACCAAGTTTGAAATGTATGTAATGCATCAGCAGAGAATGAATAACAAAAACGTTTTGATAAAAGGAAATGTGTTGTTGTTAAGAGACTCCTCACATATTATATTTATAATCTTCACATTTTTCAAGGTACAGTGACTCCCCACATATTACAGGAGGTGGGCTTGACAATTCAAAGTCAAAGTATCTGTCAGAGCATTTATCCAGGGGACTTTGATCCATACAGTATGATATGTGCAGGACACATCCGAGGCGGAGCCGATTCATGTTTGGTATGCATTCAGTGTTTCTAACGATTATAGAGTTAAACTATGATTTGTGTAGAATATATCCGAGGCGGAACCCGGGCGATTTGAAATGACATTAACGGTTGATTATCCATTGAATACCATAGTCAACTTTCACAAAATAAACCTGTTTGATATTCGACAAATTTACTGTAATTAGGGCGACAGTGGTGGTCCTCTTGTATGTCCGATACAACGTGAAGGAAGGTGGTATCTAGCAGGCATTACAAGTTGGGGACTTGAGTGTGGGGAGCAGTCTGGCGTCTACGCGTCTGTGAGCGCCGCTAACGATTGGATATACGAAACCATCGATGACATCACCGCGGAAGGTATGTTTGAAAAATACTTTTGGTATAGAAATAGACGTCACTATTGTAATAAACAGCAATACCACTGTAACAGACAATACCGGTGTAATATACGATAGTATTGTATTAAAACACACTACTATTGAAAAGCACAACAACATTGTACTATACAATACGATTAGAATAGCCAGCGCCATTGTAATAAACAATACTATTGTATTAGATAAGGTAAGGTTTTGTCGTCAGTGACCAGCTATTATAATGGAGAGAAATTATTGTACTTCGTTTGTTTTCAACAAGACTACTAATGAACCATCGTTTTTTTATGAGAAGTAATTTTTTAGCGTAATTACAATTTAGTTACAAATTTATTTCAAGGCTGAACGTTTTCTTGAAAAGGTTAAATCTATGTCGTATCATATTATTTGCATATGAGAAGGTTTGTTTAGGCAACTAAAATGTCAAAGGGTTTGAAATTCACTAGTATCGTTGATCCGATGTGCATAATGACGTGATCTTGTTTGTGGTTTGGGTAGACGCCATCTTTGATTTTAAAGCGGCCAGGGAGCTAGCTACCTTAAATTATCATGAGTTCATGCATTAGCATATAAAAATATAGTCACCGAACAATTAGCATTTTTACATCGTGTTCAATGGTAATAATAATCTTCATATCTGAAAATTTAGCTATGTGATATGGAATGACAAATTAGCGTATAAAAAAAGTTTTCAGTATAATAATAATTGATTATTATATACATAGGAAGTTCTCTCCCATGATGCATTGTATATATGTGCAGTAATATGCTCGGTATTGAAAACTATGAATTCCGATCAAACTGCTTATAAAACAAGACAATATTTTGCTTTTTATTAGTTGTATTCATAATTTGTAATTTTATTTTAATATAGTATTTATTCACTGATATGTAGTGTAAAGCCCACAAAACAAAGTATATGAAATAAAAACAACAATCAGTAACAAGTGTTTAATAAATCAAGAAAAAAAATGAAATAATAAAACAATGCATCATATTTTAATGTGAATGTTCATTTTCTTAATCACTGAAATAGAACCAAGCCTTACCAGTATCGCCTATGGGAATTAGTGTACTTGTGCTTTGTATTTGGTCATTCTTAACATTCAAAGCTGACTTATGTTTTTTTTTCTAATCATGATTTCATTTCATTCAGCATGCGGGGATGATTTTGAATGTTCTGATGGATCTTGTCTGCCTTTTCAGTGGGTATGTGATGGAATAGGAGACTGTATTGATGGCTCTGATGAAATCGACTGCAGTATATGTGAGTATCAATATGTAAAAAATAAACAACAATACGGATACCTTTTATAAAATATAATTCTTGTCGATATGCATGGCTTATTCTGCTTTCAATTTATGCTGAAGTTGAGGGTCCATTTCTCCTGTGACTCACCTCAACAGCTAAGAATAATACCAACCGGATTTAATGTTAATGCTCCTGTTTCATCATAGGTACAATGGAATATTCAGTTTCTGTCCAAGAGGGCGTACTCAATCTTACGATTCCCGACGACACTTCCGAATGCATTTGGAAACTGTCAACAGAAGATGGGCACCGAGTTGGGTTTACTTTTGCTGCTGGCTCAATTTTTTTTTATCACACGTTGGGCACTGGAAGTGATGCCGAAAACCGCTCTTCCATACTCGTATCTGGTACAATTCTCAATGCACTGCCAAGAGCCATTGTATCACCCACTAATTCGATGTGGATGAAACTATCGGGACTTAACGGAGATGGAAATAACGATCTTGGCATGATTTCAGTTCTGACTGCAGCTGGTAAGCATTACTCCATTCAAATTTAACGTTAATAACTGATTGGTTGTTATTTTTACTGGTTTTATCGAAGATTTCTGTGTATTACATTACAAAATAACAAACGTCGATGCTGTCTACGGAGGCTTAAATACCTAAATCTAAAATCTGATAAAATCAGGTTGTGCAATGCAAATTTCCCGATGATCATTAAATCGCTAGCCAACTTTACAAATATTGCCTCAAATGTGGGATTCTGTGGAAGAAGTTGTTAGTGTTTGTCTCAGATAGTTTTTCCAATGATCTTGAAATAGAGTATTACGTACTTGTTACTTTTTGAACAGAACAATATCATTAACTCGCCCATTTATCAATCGAAACTTATGAAACATGTATTGCGCTTTGTTGCCGTTGGTTTTAGTCTGATTGGTGCCTTCTAGAAAGTCGCGCGAAACGATATTGTCATCATATATGTGTGCAGCCTCGACCCGCTACAACATTGTAATACTACTGAGAGACAGTAAATTACATTTGACAAGCCAGGTCATTAGCCTGATCCAACCGTGGCAATTGTTAAGTTTCTTGATAATTCATTTATCTAATAAAGATGTATTCGCGAAATCTTTGGTTCTGACGCGGAAAGACCAGAGATTTTTAAAATTATAGTGCTCGTGAAACGCTTGCTACAACGATGTTTGAAATTGGTATATGCATATTGTCATAGTTTATATCTGAGTTTCAAAGTTGCTGTTCACTATCAGTCATTTATTGCATTTGAAAACGAGGCTCGTCGCCAATTCCCACTCTCAAGTCCCTCACATAAAATAACATTATAATAGGTTAGATGCAACAACTTTAATAAACACACATGTATAAATTTCACAGACGACTGCAGTGCCCTCATCGATGATGTCGTTCATTCGTGTGGAAACACCCTCTGCTTTGATACAAATGAGTTATACTGTAATGAGGCTAACGACTGCGGCGACTGGACGGACGACTTAAACTGCAGTAAGTTAATAATTACTTTACACATATAAAGTACACGGTAATCCCTTCGGCACAATGAACCCGTTGCCTCCATGTTTGTAAATATTTATAAATTTCAATCAGCCAATCAACGAGCGCATTAAAATCATTTGGAAATTTACCAGTGTTTTTCCATCGGCTACTTTTTTGTTTCAGTGTGAATTGTGAAATTTATAAATACTTATAGTATTTACTTACTAATTCTTATTATATTATATTTATATGGTACTATATTCATGTCGACATTAATTGCTTGCAGGTAAGAGCCAATATTTTCAAGTGTTTTTCGGTTACGGATTATGTAATTTTGCTTGAATATACACTTTAAAACATTTGATATAAAAATATACATATGAAAATTTCTACCTAAAACTACCTAAATTTGAAAAAAAAATATTTCTTTAAACTTTCCTTTGTATTTAGTACTGAGCTCCTTTGTTGAGTACGGCAGCAAATATTCTGTTGGTGTCACGCTTCGCCCTACACACCTTTACGAGGACAACTCGATACATTATTTACGCTGTTTCGAGGGCTGTTAAGTCCATAAAACTAAATAGCCAAAAAGTATGCGTTAGAGACATACCAATGTAGAATTTGAGTTGTCAGTAATTGCTACTATATCGACACTGACTGTTTATTTTATTGACTTAACCTCTTGAGCTTACTTGAGCACAGACGTTCAAAACGTGCACAGAATGGCTTAACGCGCATATGTATGTGCATGTGGAATGTATGCAGAAATATTCTTGAACTGACGTAATTATAGAAAGACATAAGTGATCAGACTTTTAAAAAAACTAACGGCTTACTTTTCTGTGACTTTTCGGCGATTTGCTGCAAATCTCAAAGGAAGTTTTTGGTCTGAACAAGTTAAATGAAACAGAATATTTCCACTCAGTTACGTCTGTCCATATTTCAGTTTTTGTTACTTGTTTTTTCTAAATTGAACATCTTTGTGAATAATTTATCACATAACGTAATGCTTAATTAGTGACGTCACGTTTAATTTTATAGGTTGTCACGTGACTCGTGGTTTGCGGTGTTATGATGACGGGCCATGTATACAGCGAAGTAATATCTGTGATGATGAAATCCATTGTCCGAACGCAACAGACGAGTTGCAATGCGGTATGTACTTTATTAGTTAATCAATTAAGAGTCAGGTGAAATTAAACGTCTGGCACGTCGATTAAAAACGAACCTGCCGGTGATCTGCCGGTGTTCCTGAACCAACACAAAAGTTAATTCTAAATCTAAACGGGGAGGAGGGGGGGGGGCTATAATTAAACTAAGATATTGACGCAAATGTCTTGATAACCAGTGTCAACTTCCTGACAAGGTGAATATAATGGTGTGGGGGTGTCCGTGTCTGAGCATGTCTTAGCTTGGGTGATAAAGTGCTTTGCCCTATGGCGAATAGTCGTGACTGATGCTGCTGTGTCTTGTTTATCTTTCTGCATATCAGAGAAACATATATTTTATATTCCCTCTGATCTTAAACTAATACATGTACAGCGCTTAACAAGGCATCGATTCCACATGTTCCTTGATGCCACAATTTGCGTGAGCGAGGGATTGAATTTTTGTTGGCCAAAATATCAAGTCTGGTCTTCAATGACTACTCCAGTGCGTGCACCGATCGGAAAATGAAAGGGCGGCTATCTCGCTTCGCCGATGGCCCGAGGCCCGTGTGAGTAAGAGAACTATCGTACAGGTCAAATGTCCAAGAGTTGATGATTTCAATGTTTTATAATGAGGCCTATGTAATGAATCTAGTATTACACTTTTCCAGAATGTCCATGTGGCGTTTTTGAAGCGTCCATGATACTCATAATGGTATAGAATGAATCAATAATTTGATCTCTGATCGCTGCCTTGTGTTAGATAATCCATTCACAAACACAGGGTAGCCAGACTTTGCGGAGTCTATGATAATTGTGTCCCAACAGCGACCATCATCCCTGGGTTTAGAGTACTATTGTTTTGGCACATTCTTAGAGCTGCATGGGGAACACTCACCCATATGGACGACGTCATTTCCATGAACTCATTCGAGTTCTTAGTTGTATGTTGAGTATTGAGAGTAGTGAAATCTCCAGGTCTATGATTTCATCTTGGTTCTATAGTACTTTACCTGTCAGTAGTGGATCTGATGGTAGACTCATTGACATTAATGAAATGGTCAACTGGAATTGACTAGCAAACTTAATTTTGTGGCCGTGTTTGACTACAGATAAGACCCATAGATTATCTGTTATAATTGTTCTTCAATTTCCATAAAACGTTCTTGGCCCCACATTCATGTCCAAGTCCTTATGTAATATGGTTATTCACATTTTCACCACAACCTGTTAGTCATTATTGAGTGCTTAAGTCCTACACTAGTGTAGACTGCTGCTCATATCAAGCTATCTACTGTTGCTTTATTGAGACTTAGCTTGATCTTTATCTTTGTGCGTGTTGATAACTCATATTCTGATTAACATTTTGTCTCCCCCAAAGCGGCAAGCTGGTTAGCAAGTGGGGGTTCGAATGGGGTCAACCTAGTCCAATCCCTCTGACTTGTGAACGTTTTCTCATAAATTCAGCTCTTAAAACTGCATCACGCTTCCCTAACTGGTACATAGTACTACCATACTCTGTGTCAAGTCGACTGTTAAACCATGAAGTCCCTGTAATTAAGGTACCTGGATCTCTCCAAAAGTAAACATGTAATACTGCTATCATATCAATGTTAAGGCAGTGCATCACAGTGCTCTTCTTTTCTCCAAATATTTGTGTTGGAGATCAGAGATCAGAGAGAATATGTAATGACCTATCACTGCCTGTGGCTGGCCAATCTCTCTTAGATACACTAGTCAAAATGTTGATTCAAGTGGCAAAAATTGCCTTGCTTTTTTCCTGAGCCTGTTCAAATTAGGTACTGTACTATGAAATCCAGCTTTTATTATCTTTTCCGTATTCTTTTTAATAATACTTAACGGCTTTCAAAAAATTGAATTTCGCATGAATAATCCTTCCCATATCATGTTCTTGTTTTCATCTACAAAAAAAACAGAGCCACATTTACCTCTCAATAAATTTGAATTTTGAATTTACCATACTGTGGATAATCGTCAAGTAATTGATACGGAACTTGTCTATAATGAAAACGAAATATTGAGAAAATAATAGAGTTAATATTATTATAAGCAAAATAGTTATGCAATAAATAATTAGTTACCAAACGAAACAAACAATAATAACAATAAATACTACAGCAGCCTCTGGAATTATGCTAATGACATTGCTTATCTAGTTTGGCAATGATTCAGCCGAAGTAATTCTCTTTGCAAACACAGTCTTCATACCTGGCTGTATAATTAACACAATCATGTAGGGACAAATCATCAAATATGTCAAGTCACTTCACTGGGTGCATAATTATGAAAAATATTTGGTTTTGACTATTGTGTGTGTTCTCATATGAGAAATAACAATTCAATCAAATTTTAATTTCATGATATTTATTTCCTTATATTTGTTTTCATGTAGTTTGTTAAAAAATAACCGCCTATTCTAGAACGTTTGTTTACACTTACCACACAGTCAGCCATTATTTGAACAAGAGGTGAGTTCAAATATGAACAAGACGAGTGAAAACAATGACTGACAATGCAAGGAATATTTTCTGTTCTAGTTATGTTTCAATGTGATGATGAAGAATATAGTGTATGGGAGAAGTTTGTGTGCGATGGCATTAACGATTGCGCTGACAGGAGCGACGAAAGACAATGCGGTAAGTTGTTTGTCTGATTCTAAACAAATTGTGGGATTAAATTAAACGTGATATTCTGTTACATCATCATTGCGTAAATTCGTTCGAATCATTGCGCACGATATCTTTAGTATACACCAAACAACTCAGGATTTCATATAGCCTGGTAACCAAACTCCCTAAACAAAATTAACAAAACGCTAAGGCTACTCTCCGCAGTAGTCGTGAGTTGCTCTGACGAGTTCACGGTACGTGTAATTATATCACGCCTAGAATTTTGTTTTCTGAATAGTCAGTGACAGTTACGTTTCCTCTCTCCCTATATCACTTGATAATCGATACAGCGATAAACGTGTAACTGTTCAATTCTTCACGATGATCCAAAAGAGTTTAAAGCGGGAGGGTCGTCACCTGCGCACGCGCGGGAGTAGAGTCCCAAGCGACGATAACAACGCACGCTAGGAACGCAAAGGCTCATGGGTACCGCTTGTTTGTAAACAATGACACGCTGTGGCCATCTGACGCATGCGCAGGTGACGACTCCCCCCAGTGAACCCACAATAGTCCAACTAAGGATATAATCCCTAATTAACATATGTCATAATACATTGTTTACAGCGTGTTCTAAGTATGAATATGAGTGTAATGATGGTTCATGTATTAATCTGAACTATGTCTGTGACGGTATTGACAACTGCCCTGACAGTGGCGATGAACTTAATTGTGGTAAGCATATTTATAATTATCCGATTTTACTGTATATTACATGATACCAGCCACCGTTGGTTGACCGAACCTTTGCGAATTTAACATACCCAAGAACGAAATAAAGTTCCTAAAGGGTACCCATGAAACCATGGCAATGAATTTCTCGACCATTTGTTTTATAGTCTGTATGAGCTGGCAGTGGAAGTGTGCTGATGACACGTGTATACCACTCTGGATGCATTGTAACCGTGAGCAGGACTGTTCTGATGGAAGTGACGAGTGGGACTGTGATCGTAAGTTTGCCACCCATGCGCTCCACATCATATTGCATACTCGAAAAGGAACAAACTGAATGTTTTTAAACTGGCCATAAATAAAGGAGACAGTAAAGAAAACTTTGATAATAATTTTGAAAATTTGTGTCGGATATTATCTTGATAAATACAGCAATATAAGCTGGGCTTGGTTACCTTTCTATCATGCCTTCATTCTGCATACTGACCGGGAAAGTTGCCCTGATTTCACTCGTATGGTCAGTGGATGATTGCAATGTTGGTTGGTTGATGAATGTAGAACGCTGTTAACCTGTCTATGCCAATACCCCCGACTAATGGGGTGATAGTTGTATGTTTTCCGTACGCCTCGAGTTTTTCACTAAGACGAAAATGTGACCTCGCCATTCATCGTGACGTTAAAATAAATTTAGATGTTTAATGAGCAAAATCAGGCAACATTTTACGACTAGAATGTTGAGGGTCGAAATAATACAAAAGTTTCAAGACTAAAGGTAGGCAAATTGATAACAATCTAGATAGGTGAAGCCCATGGTTGCGTTCAGTGTACTGAAAGATCGGCGGTTTATTGATGTTAGTGCGTAATGTCTCGAACTATATATAGTCAAGTTCATCACATCGGCTATCGTACACGTGATAATAAAATAAGTGCGACAAATTTACCGATATTTGCTGTATGAGGGCCACCATCTTGGATAGACATGAAAGTAAATAAACAGCAAAGAGCTGCCTTGACGCAATTTGCATACTTTGAGGTATCTGAGCAGATGTAGGGATGTGTGGAGTAATATTTTACAAGCGACCAGAGCATTCACCTACACTAGATGGTAATCAGAACCAACTAGACACTTCATCAAGTTGTTAGAACCGGAATGTTGACAATTGTTGGCGACATATCTCCACAGATTGCGGTGAACACGAATACACGTGCAATAATTACGACTGTATTCCTATATCTCGGGTGTGTAATGGCATTCTCAATTGTGAAGACGGAAGTGACGAAATAGGTTGCGGTGAGTTCTCTTTATGGTCATCTACTGCTATTCCTATTATTCAATCATTTTTCGCTATTCATTCAGCATGTAATAGCTGCCGTATGACATACATGTAACGGATTTAAGTAATATGTGGTATTTTCTGCCGGAAAACATCCTCATATTCACTCCGTTGTTCAGTTCAATGTAGATCGCCGTGCCATATTCCATGAAATAGTCTTCAATATATCTATCTATCACTACACAATCGAGCAACTGAGTATTTAAAGTGGGAGAGTCGTCACCTGCGCATGCGTCAGATGGCCATAGCGTGTCATTGTTCTAACAAGCGTCTTGCGTTTTAGCGTGTGTTGTTATCATCGCCTGGGGGCTCAATTCCCACGCGTGCGCAGGTGACGACCCGCCCGCTTTAAATACTAGGAAATTTTCAACATACGTAATCGCCTTGATCGAATTTGCATATGAATGACGTAATGTTCTTTGGTAATAAAGTCGTTTGACCTATGAGAAAGTAGCAACAATTGTACTGGTTACTTGACCTTAATTTCGTGCGAAAAATAGTTTGGCAATCATACTTGTATGAAGATACATGAAATGAAAATGAAAAAGAAATATCATAATTTGATAAGAATTCAAATTTTTAATACACCTTTATTTTGATTATTCATATAGTTTGTCCCGAGGGTAAGTTCCGTTGTAATTTTGGTGAATGTATTACAAATTCTCGACGGTGTGATGGTAAGAAACACTGTCTGGATGGCAGCGACGAATCAGACTGTGGTAAGTACTCGCTTAACTAGTAGAAAATGTAGTACTACTTACTTAACATACGATTATTAGAATTATTAGACATCTACTATTCGTATGACTGGTGAATCGTCTTTTGTTTGTTAATTTGAAGAGCTCGTAGCTTTAAACTTTTTTTAACGAGGATAACATAGTTATTTTTCACTCATCTTCCCTATGTCCCCCAAATAAGCATAATACACATGTAGAGAATGTAATTAATATGACCAACAAACTATATACAAATGCAAACTAAAATTGAATGTGGTTAAAATGCATTATTTTTTTAATATCTGTTTAAAAAAAATAATTCTATCTGGTTGCCTACTCTCCTGTTCTAAACATGTGCTCCTGCAATGGACAGGCTTTCTTAAAAAAAACTACCCTGTGTGGTTTTAGTCCTGACTTGATATACAGATTGTTGCGAACTGCTGACCTGGTGTTAATTGTAAGCATGATGGTTACACCGAATTAACGGCAAGGTAAAGACTATGTCTAATTATAGTAAACACGTACTGCGTGCGTGACTCGAACCGGCGCTCGCGTACGGCACCTAATCGCCTAGCTTCACGCCACTACACGTCTTCCCCTCGGCCACCGGGCATCCCCCAAAAAGGATGCTTAATAACCGAGCTTATTACGTGCAGAGAACATGAAACCCGTCCACGCGATCCGCGCCACACGGTATTTTGGTGTTAATTGTATACGTATCTCTGGTATATGTTAACGTTTCTCTCATATATGGAGGTGCTAAATTGTTAAGTGACTTAAAAACTAGGGTTGCTATCCTTGGTCGAGTCGGATCCGTATGTAAATATTAAAATATATGAATACCACCCTCCTCCAATGTGGTACTAATTGGTGAAATTAATACATATCACAAACAAATGATCCTACAAAAATCTGCGTTTAAAAAGCGTTTAAAAAGATGTAGACCATACGTTTTAGGACCAATAATTTAGTTGGCAATTAAGAAGAAGAATATGACTTTACATCACTGCTATTTGAGGATGATGTAGCGAATTGTCCACACCTTAGTCATTTACATAATATACACATAATCTCAATTTAGCGTGTTGAATAAAACGATTAGAAGCGCTATCCGAACAGCGAAATGAAGCCACCGAACTCGTTTGCCCGTAAACATGAGACACACATGGCCGTCACAATCTCGCTGAGAGCGCGATCACAACGAGACTCACTTTGTCTCACAAATACTGTTCTATTCTACTCCGTCATCGCGTGCACTGAGATAATTAAACACCATTTGGTAGTAAAATCAAGTCTCGTGGTTGTCTCGTTCTCAACGAGATCTCAACAGCCTATAGCATCTAATGTTTATTCGGATCGTCTTTACCATCATCGATACACGGGAGGGGCCACACATACTTTCTGTTAAATACATGCATGTAAATGTATGCAAATTGTATATTTCCAACAGATAATATAGAGGAATGCCTAGAAGTTTACACTTTAAGTGAGGTAATTGAAACAGTTACAATCACGTCGCCGGGATTTCCTGACCAATACGCTGATCAGCATACTTGTACTTGGATCGTAAAGCCAGCAAACGACTTTGATGATGTACAATATCTCTCTGTACAATTCACGTTCTTCAGCACTGAAGATTGTTGCGATTTCCTCTACGTTGGTGCAGGATCTGATCCTACCAACGAGCTTTCTCAAATAAGCTCTCTAAGTGGGTCTCTAGAAACAGTGCGTAGTTTCACATACCACGGCGACACCTTGTGGTTTCGTTTTGAATCGGACTACAGCATTACAGACGAGGGGTTCAGCTTTACAGTGAGTGTTTCAAACGGGCAAGGTTAGTAATTATCTTGATGAAAAATCAAGTATAATTTTACTTTAACTCTCGACATACAAATTACTATTTTTTTATTGAGTATTGCATGTATTTGTCAGATTATTTGAAAGAGCAAATATTCCTAGTACACATATAATTATGCATATAGATTTATTTTCGCCATGAATCATGTACGAAAACAGTGCAATCTTGGATTGAATATTCACCACACCTTACAGTGTATGTGATTTAATACATCCATAACTTCTTAATAAGTTAATTTCGTGCTAACTTCGGAATCTGTTTCAGAATGTACAACGGGTTATGTATGTCCTACTAATAAATGTATTGACCACTCGTACTTCTGCGATGACGTCAACGATTGCGGTGACTCCTCAGATGAAGATATACCCGGTGTTTGTAGAATAGGTAAGACTATGTGACGGACGGACGAACGGACGGACAGACCGACAGACATTACGCGCATATGTACTAAGAATGTAGAATCAGATTTTTCAAATGCTTGAATATATTCTGCTCTATGGTATCAAGATGTTTATTTATTTGGACGAAAGGTGCACATCACAAAATAATAATTATATCTTATTTAAGCTTGTAGAGATTGGGAGTTTGATTGCCATGTCGGTGGTTGCATACCACTTTTCTACCAGTGTAATGGGGTTTTTGACTGCACAGACGATAGCGACGAAATATGTGGTAAGTTTAAACCGCGTTCTTCTTTCCAGATTAGTTGAGAGATATTTTGTTATTGTCGTCTATATCAATGAAGTTCAGTCATTTAAGTGATGGTGGTGATGATGATGATGATAATGATGATTGTGTTAGAATATTGGGGCAATAGAGGCTTAACATTTATGTTACTAACATTCTCAGGAAAGGTATGCTCAACTGATGAGATATTATGCCCTGACGACGACTCTTGCTTACCGCTCGCATCCATGTGCGATGATGTTGTGGATTGTGGGGATGGATCGGACGAACATAACTGTGGTATGTATACTTAATAGTGACAGGAAAACAACAGTGAGTTCCGGGTTATTTATTTTCGTTGGTGCACTTCCGGCTACCAGGAATGTGCTTTTTGATGCAGGTATTTTACTATACCGGCTTCACCGCACAAGTATAATTTATAACATCCTGGTAGCCGTGCAAACATTAGTAAAGTATTGCTGGGCCCACGTACGACTGGTTATATCCCGCTCCATCTCGTGAACGTGCGCTATTTAAAGGTAGCAAACCAGGAACTCAAAACTCTTCTTATATGACCACATATCTCGAGGACGTTGTTTTTCACTCAATGCTACAAGTTTCAATGGCTGGTGGGCATAGCAGCCGACTGTGAACGTATTGCTGGCTGCATATGAATATGAAACCATAGCACAAAAAACCATAAAACCACAAAAGTGAAAGAGCAACTCACATGTTTTTGTTCGTAAATGTTTTTGTTGTTTGGTTGATTTTCACGTTCATATAATAAAAGGGTACTCTTCTGATGGAAACAAATAAAAAAGAGTCAGATTTAAAATTTGAGGATCTTAGTTTAGCTTGTTCAACTGATCGGTTATTTTTCTTACAGCAATCATGTATCATTCCTTTTCATCAATACTGTCGCAACTTTCCTTGCAAACTTTGTCAAGAATAGTCGTGGATGTACTTATATGGATAATGTTTTATTTTTATTTTGTCCGATATTTAGTAACGATTGGTGACTTGAGCGAAAGACTGACAGACATGTTTCTTGTGAACTTCGGTGGTACTTGGTATCCACTTTGTAATGCGGGTGGTGGGGTGGAATCATCCATGGAAGGTTATGGTGATTACATGTGTAGAACAAATGAAATGGGATTCGAGTAAGTAGTCACATGGAGGAAGCACAATCACGATCATATATTAAAGTATTTAAAAAATTAAATTAATAAGCAATACGAGTGTAGTTTGCGTTAAGAATTTGTGTCACTTACTTGTTTTGATTTATTTAATATAGCGGATTAGAACGTCTGTCGTTTGTCGACCTTGGAGACGATCCTAGGATTGGTTTTGCCACCCTAATTGATGACCCAAATGGTGACTACAAACATACACAATTTGAATACACGTAAGTACGTACACTATTTGAATACACGTAAGTACGTGCACTATTTGAATACGCGTAAGTACGTACACTATTTGAATACACGTAAGTACGTACACTATTTGAATACACGTAAGTACGTACACTATTTGAATACACGAAAGTACGTACACTATTTGAATACACGTAGGTACGTACACTATTTGAATACACGTAAGTACGTACACGTAAATACATATAATCTTCTAAAACACGTAAATACATATAATCTTCTAAAACACGTAAATACATATAATCTTCTAAAACACGTAAATACATATACTCTTTCTAAAACACGTAAATACATATAATCTTCTAAAACACGTAAATACATATAATCTTCTAAAACTCGTAAATACATATAATCTTCTAAAACACGTAAATACATATCTTTTAAAACACGTAAATACATATAATCTTCTAAAACACGTAAATACATATAATCTTTTAAAACACGTTAATACATATAATCTTCTAAAACACGTAAATACATATAATCTTCTAAAACACGTAAATACATATAATCTTTTAAAACACGTTAATACATATAATCTTCTAAAACACGTAAATACATATAATCTTCTAAAACACGTAAATACATATAATCTTCTAAAACTCGTAAATACATATAATCTTCTAAAACACGTAAATACATATAATCTTCTAAAACTCGTAAATACATATAATCTTCTAAAACTCGTAAATACATATAATCTTCTAAAACACGTAAATACATATAATCTTCTAAAACACGTAAACACATATAATCTTCGAATTAATAATATTAGTGTATTAACGATCACAGAATATGACATTTATGTTTGGTAGTCAGCTTGTAGGCGACAGCGAAGTTCATGTCATACATGATCACGTGATTACACACGTTCATAATTCCAACTTATGTGTGATCATTTTCTTGTTCTAATTGACAGTGAATCCTGTCTTACGAGGGAAGTTGCACAGGTGACTTGTAAAGAGTTTGGTAAGAATGCCGCTTATGTGCCAGTATATATATATATACACACTAAGGCACTTGATATAAACATTAAGCAACACTAAAACATGATCTCGTTTGTTATTAAACACCTCGAAATGAAAATATTTTTGTGTGTGTTTTGTGATGTCCATACACATATAGTAATTGTCTAATAATTATTCACAGAATGTGGCGTTATTCCGTCTGGTGGGGTGCCGCGTGTAGTCAATGGGGAAGACGCTTCGAACGGTGATTGGCCTTGGCAGGTGTCGCTAAGAGATGATGACGACATAGCTCAATGTGGCGGTACTATTATTTCCAGAACGTGGATACTCACAGCAGCCCATTGTTTGTAAGTTTTTGTTTTGGAACTAGTATGTAAATCAATATAAATTAAAAAAAATCCTTTTACGCCTACAAAGTAACTATTTTGTATGGCGCATTGAATCTGTGTGATCAGCAATGTAAAATATAATATAGTAATATTAAACTGTATTATCTGTTAAACATTAACATAGTTAGTGAAATCAGTCATGAATTGGTATCAGCAGTTATGATTGAATTTCTTTTTTGGAATACCTAAAATCCCGGCATGCAACGCTGTTTTAAATCCTGCCCGAGAACACGCTCAGCATGCCTATTGTGTTGCCACCTTGGCGTTGATATTTTCCTCTAGACGCCTTTCCAGCATATACCTAAATAAGCTCATTATTATATAGTATACATATTAGTAAATTGTTACCTTATATATTCACAGAGAAGTAAACATCGCTAGAGTGGTAGCTGGCATCACGCATTTTAACGATAAGCATGAGTATCGTCAAGACGTTGATGTTAAAAATAGATATGAGCACACCGAATGGGATTTGTCTTCTTATTCCAATGATATTGCGCTATTGGAACTGCGCAAGCCACTCAAGTTCAATATATATGTGAGGCCTGCCTGTTTACCACCAAGAAACCTAACATTTGTTCCTGGTGACTATGCTTGGATTTCCGGCTGGGGACAAACCTGGGATAGTAATTGTAAGCGTAAAATATAAAAAGTCTTACCTGTTGACAGTAAATACCCTGTTTAAATACCTTGGTACCCGATAGTGTATTTGTTGCGAACGAACACCTATTGTGGGACTCACATACATTTCATGATGTTTTTTTATTGCCTATATGTTTTTTTTACACACATTATGTGGCGTATGTTTATGTGGCACGATTAGATTTACCATGATCGCTTTTAACCCAACATCCCAATAAAATGTTTAGTATTTAGTTCTAAGCTAGAAAGTGTTATCGTGATTCTGACTAACACTTGTATTTTATCTACAGTAAATACGCCAAAGCACATGCAATATGCGCGGATGCCCATCGTACCAAATGATCATTGTAAATTTGATCTTATAACAGTAACAGATGATATGATATGCTTGGCGTATAAGGATTATTTCGTAGGCGCATGTTTTGTAAGTACTAGTTATATACACTATAAGTTTAGTTTTTCATTAAAAGAGAGAATTCCATTTACTGGGCATTTAATGTACAGTATATTGCCAGAGAAACGATCAATGGAATCGAAACATGTTCAGGGATTTTTATGTTCATTTTCTGTATCATTGAATAAATGTATGACTTGTAATGTGGTTCCAACAGTCAACTAAACTAATCATAAATAGAATGACTATTGCGTAGCGGCAATGGCCAATTAGACTGAACAATAATTCACTAATACACATCAGTCTAATATCAGTTTCATATTAATTTGTTTGTGTTATTTGTTTGCTTTTGTTGAAGGGTGACAGTGGCGGCCCACTCAGCTTTGAATTCACACCAGAACGCTTCTACGTGATTGGCGCAACAAGCTATGGGTTTTCCTGTGCTGGGCATGGTGATCCATTAGTTTATGCAAGAGCGTCATATTTCCTTGACTGGTACGAGGAAATAATGGGCGACGACTTCCGGAGACTTGAAAATATTTACTGAATGTGTTAGTGAATTTATTAAAGAGACATATTTCAAATGGTGTTCTTGTTTATGAAAACTTTATTTTTCGGAAATAAGACCATCAATTACTGTCTCTCTTAAACATTTATAATTGTGAGCACACCTTCATATTTGGTGTGCCATACTGTGATATTCGCGACGTAGCGATTTCAGTGACAACACTGCCTCTGGTAGTAATCATTTTGACAACAAACCGTCAACCAATTAAATTATACTAATGACACTAACATAATGAAGATCGTATGATTTTCTCTTCTTCTTTGTAATTGATCTGTCTTTCAACCACAACGACCATGAATCAGTTGTACGTTCTGAATCTATATCAATATATATTTAATTCGTTATACAAGCAGAAGACAAATTTTATATTCTGACTTTCAATGACTATAGATATGTTACATACTCAGTTTTACAAATCAGTATATATATACATAACACTGCCCATGTATATTATTCATTTGAACAGAGAGTAATAAGCTTAACGATCATGTGGTCAGTCAGTGTTCATTTTCTATTGTCAACATGAACATGTAATTTATCAGAGAATTAAGTGTGCTGTAGCTGTGTAGATTTTATTAGTAATCGATATATGCCAAAATAGTAAAACGTATTACGATACAATCTTACTATGTAACAGAATTCAAATCTTATCGACTACGTGCAATCACGTAATTGCTACGGGAACGTGTAGTACATTGAGTAATCAACCCAGAGTAAAGTTTTCAAACTAAAACTGTAGTACTGTCCTTACTTTGTAGGCATTCAACAATAGTTTTATAATTTTAATTTGATTCGTTCAAAGATCTTGCATGATCACATAATTAGATATGTTCTATTTGGCACATTTGTATATACAACAAAAGGGGGCGTATAACATGCTGGTTACATTAGCCATGCGAGTCAGACAATACATGTTATTAATGTCCCATTGTGATGGCAGCATTTACTTTAAAAAGCGGTGATCGTCGCGCAGCACGTGTCCGATTTATATGTACCAAACAGTGTATTTCACACGTGTTGTATACGTCCTTATGAGTCGACCAGGACTCGGCATGACACCCACTATCCTTTAATTACAGTTTAGAACGTAGTAACTGTTGACTTATAATTAGTTCCGGTCCTATTTTCAGAAGGTCATATATTCAAAACGTCCGAAAGTTCAGAAAGCTCTTTATCCGGGACGTCCGATGTTCTGAAGGTAATGAGTTCAGAATGTTGGATGTTCAAAATGTCCTATGTTCGATATTTTGTTGGGGTAGGGAGGGGGCTATGTTCAGAACATTGTAAACACCTGAAGAAACAATCCGACACATTTGAACAACAAAATATAACGAAAATAAGCACAGTAATAAGAGTTCGACCATTTAAAACTATGCAGGTGATGGCAGAATTAAAAAAAAAGTATGATTCATAACATTTTACATATAATAAAACAAAAATATGCACATCATAACGAAATAATATTCTCTGCAGTGACTCTACCATTCTACCATTCATTCTGAGTTTGAAGCTTTTATTTTCATGCACATTATAATAATAGTTTTAATGTTTAGGCAGACAGAATTTTTTACTCATTTTATATGCATAAATTTGTAGGCTGCTTGCTATGTATATAAAAGTGGTACGACTGCTCCCATCGAGTTATTCACCCGCAATTCAACTTGTACCTTACCGCTGGACGAATATAGGATTCAATATAGTAGCAAATACTTGTTTTCTTTCCAACCTCAAAATAGATAGAAGGATAACCAAAGTTGAAGTTTTGGAAGTATTTTCCCCACGTATACACACTACTTGCTACTCTAGTTCATATAGGTTGTATCCTGTACCTATTAAAATAAATGCAATTGTTTCAGGATATAGGCGTTTCAGTTTGTTATCAATCTAAAAAAAATAATTCTCAAGCTATCATGTTAAAAAATGATCCGTATACACGAATCTGATCTGCTCATATATATATGGTGTGTTTGAAAATTATCTGTTCATTTCATATAACTTGTTCGTGGCGATGGTTGATACTAGTGACGTGATGGAATAGTATTATCAACGAGTCGACGGTGAAGCTACAGGCCAGTTGCTAACGAAATCCTGAACCCAGCATGAGTGACTTCACAATGTTGCCATTTGGAATGAAATATCAAATTACCATTTTAAAAAATAGGCAGTTATTTAGGGTCTAGATTGATATACATGTACCTCCACATCCTCTTAACCTAACCATTAGTGTATTGTAAGTTTAAACTCCATTATAAAGTTTTTTAAATGCTTTTATTTGAACAAGAGGAATAATCCAAACTATGTTTACATATTATGGTTCAGAATCAATTATCATTTCAGTACAATGACATGATACAAAGAAATGAAACTATTACGATAAATTGACACTTGTGAATACGAGTATATTCAAACGACATCCATCACTTATCATCGTGAATCATATTGTCCTTTGCGGCATCCGTATCTCTGCTATCAATATCAGCATACACAACATTCTCAGTTTGGTCCAGAGATTTACCTTTCCGACCTCTATTTAACTAAGAAAATATGAAATAGATATCATTACAGTATCGCTAATTATAGAAAGTGACATTGCATGTATTGTGACCAACAAAATAGATTTCAATGTTGATTAAGAAAAAGATTTGAATCGACGTGATTAGATTTTCCCGACGTTTTTTCAAATAACAGTTTGATTCACAGAAATATTCACTCATACAAACACAAAACAATTATATATAATTATATTTACATGAACTCCTTGTATCGTTGCGAGATTTCCCAAGATGCACACGATAACTAGGATCGCAAATAAAGTTGATTTTCTCATCTTGAACCTAAAAATGTATTCATAAAACAAATGATGATATGTCATTTATATTATATAACCTAGTATACTCTTTATAAATGCTACACGTGGTATATTTCATGGCAACTAACGGACATCAGCATATAAAAAGGCAAAACTCAGGAAGCGTTGAGAATGCAATCACATTGAACAGACGTGTTTTCAATATCGCTTAGGTCGCGTGATAATTCATATACACAACATGAAGACGTGTGTATTTTAGTTATCAATATTTTGCTTTAAAATGCATGTATGTGTTTTGGAGAATTTGTGAAAATTCAATAATGGTATACTCTTTGCACAAGAATTACGTGTATGCTCAAATGCAGATGTGCGTGGCTGTTGTTCTATGTAAACCGTTATTGGTTTGTGGGCGATTGATACATTAATAGCGGAAATAGTCATTCTGCTCATCTTGACGCTAGTTTTATTGGATCAAAATTGCACATTGATGTTACTGTCATGATTTATATTTGCATGTATTTCGGTGAGGCTTCTTTTCGCAGTTATAGCGACATTCACTGGTGACCCCTGGATGATCCACACCTGCTCGTAACTTGTCATGATCAGGTTCATTCGTATGTCAGGGAATTAGTGATTGGAACAACTGGCTGATATAATGGTCGACTATGGAAGTTGGTCAAGTCAACGAGGCACCGATAAGTATGAGAGCTTATGACCCGACATCAGGGCAATTAA